ATGTCATTAGAATTAAGTAAATAAGGATAATATCACGTAGGTTTTTAAAGATGGTTCTACTAAACAGCAAATGTGATTGGTCAGTTTCATAGTCGATTAAGTAATTGACGTTGGTGAAACTAACTCAAATTTTTTTTTATACATGCTGAGTCGCATGTTAAGGGGATGAAATCCTCCTTCAAAAAAATCGGTTTTTTCTTTCGAAGCAAATATCTTCGAAATTATAAGAGATAGAAAAAAATATCTAAAATGAAAATTGAATGGTTGCAAGAGTATTTTATAATTATAATAAAATAAATTTCTTTTTAGTGTTATTATTGTATAGTGTTATTTATTGTATACCCCCATCCTCCACTCTTATTTTGAAAAATTTTTTAATTCTTTATATGACGAAAATTAAAGAGCATTTTACATTGAAAACAACGGTGTGTATTTAAATCACGTTCTGAAAAACTATTTTTCACATATGAACAAAAACGTCTCTTTATATGCGCTCCATACGTATATTCATATCGTCGGGAGCACAAGATACTGTTCAATGAATACAGTCCAGTACGCATTATTATCGCACTATTATTTATTATTATTTATTATAATGCTTTCACAATTATGTGCTCACATGACTTCCTTATTATACTATTGTTAACAATACGCCAGCTTATATTCACACACACACACACACACACACACCCTCGCGCGCGCCACCCACATTTACTCTCCTTTACCATTTATTTACATTTTTTTTTCTTTTTTCCGCCTTGTTAAACATTATTAAATATTCAACAGCAATTTGTTTTATCACCTTATATACTATTTCTAGTCACTAATCTTTCTTCTCTCTCTCTCCTTTTCTCTCTCTCTCCACTCCCATACACATACACACCCACATATCTCCTCACTCTTACACTCGCACCCACACCACCCGCGCGCGCCCCCCACACACTCACTCTCATTTACCCTTTATTTACATTTTGTTCTCACTCCTTTCCTTTTCTCTCCTTCTCTTTCTCACTCCTCATTTTTTCTACCTTTAACATCCATTCATATCCCCTTCCGTCTCCATTCAACACATCCACTCTTCTCTCGCTTACTAAACATTCACACTTTTTTAAATGTCTTATATCTTCTTCTTCCCTTCCGCATAATCTGCATCTTCTCTCCTGTTCTTTTAACCAGTACCAGTTTCCCTTCGTCTCATTCCCACACCTCCATCTCGCTATTGTCTGTATCCTTTTTCCGTCTGTCTTTCTTCTATTCTCTCTCACGTAACATGGTATTCCTTCCACTTTCTGATATTCTCTACACGATCTTGTATTTCGTACCTTTTCTCCCCTCTCTTGCTTATCTACCTCCTTATCCCTCTTTCTTGCTTTCTGCCATTTATCCTCTCCTTCTCCATTTAGCGCTTCTTCGCTTCTCCCGCACTTCCACAAATATCCTCTTCTTTCCAAACTTTCTCTAGCCCACTCTTTCTCTTTTCTTTCTCTTTCATCTTTTCTTTTCTCTCTCATACATATCTTTCCTATTTCTCCAACTTTTCCTTCTGTCATCCTCTCTTCAAACCGTCCCGCTCTTTCTCCCGCTGATATTCTTATCTTCTCTCTTTTTAATTCCTCTTTAACAATATATCCCGGCGTTCTCCAATCTACTCCTAATATCCATCTTAGATACTTTTCTTGCAGTTTTTCTATTTCTTCCCATTCCTTATATCCCCATATTTCTACTCCATACATTAACACACCTTTCACAATGCTATCAAACAGTTTTAGTCTCCACCTTACATCTCCTTTAAATTTCCTCTCTCCATAACTCCACACCCAACCCATCGCCACTCTTGCCCTTCTTATTCGTTCTCTAACCTGTTCTTCTTCTCTATTGTTACTTCTTATTTCGTAACCCAAATACCTAATCCTCTTAACTTCTTCTATTTCCTCCTTACCCCACCACCAGTTTCTCTTTCTTCCTCTCCCTCCATCTCTTTTAAAAACTACCACTTTAGATTTTTCTGCACTCAGTTCTAATTTCTTTTTACCCATATAAACTTTTAGCATTCTCATCATTGCTCTCAGTCCATCCTCTTTCTCCGCTACTACTACTATATCATCCGCGTACTCCAATGACCATATTTTGTCCTTTCCAATCTTAACTCCTCCTGGTCCTTTCTTCATTTCCTCCTCTATATCCGCTATGTAGATATTAAAAAGTGTTGGGCTCAACGGACATCCCTGTCTTACCCCTTTTTTAACCCAGAATTCCTTCGTCTCTTTTTTGTAGATTTTTACTCTGCATCTTGTTTCTTAATATATCTCTTTCACTCTTTCTATTAATACCTCTGATATCCCTCTTTTCCTCATCATATCCCATAATATTTCCCTATCCAATTTGTCAAACGCTGCCTTTAAATCCATAAAAAACGCACATAACTTTTCTCCCTTACTTATTCTTCTTCCAATTATATGTTTCAAAATTCTTATATTTCCTATTGTCCCTCTATTCTTTCTAAATCCCACTTGCGTTCTTCCCCACCCCTCTTTCTCGTCCAATTCTTTTACTATCTCCTTGTTTAGTATACTCGCGTATATTTTATATGCCGTATTCGTTAGTGTCACTCCTCTATAATTTGATACTATATTCCTCTCTCCCCTCTTCCATATTGGTACTACTATCCCCACCCTCCATTTATCCGGAAATCCCTCGCCTTTCCAAACTTTGTTTATAACCTCTTTCAGCTTCCTCTCTACCTTCACACCTCCTGCCAACCATACTTCATTTCTCAGTTCATCTGCTCCCGCTGCTTTGCCTCTTTTTAGTCTTTTTATTTCCCTCCGTACTTCTTCTTCCCTAATTTCTCTATCATTTCTCTGTTTCCTTTTCGTCTTTTCTTTTCTCTCCTCTTTTCTTTCTCCTCCCAGTACTTCCATAAAGTGCTTCTCCCATTCCTCTATATTTATTTCTCTGCTTATTTCTACTCGTTTTTTTCTTCCTTTATTTATAAATTTCCAGGTCTGTTCTTCTGTTTTTATATTTTCTACCTCACTTCTTTCTTCTATCCTATACTCCTCTTTCTTTTTCTCACACATATCTCTGTATTCTTTCCTTTTTCTTATATATCTCTTATAATCCTCCTCCTCCTGTGTTTTCCTATATTCTCTTCTGCTTCTATGCGCCTCTCTCTTCTTCCCTCTACACTCTTCGTCCCACCATGGGACCCATCCCAGCTCTTTTCTTTTTCCTCTCTTCCTCTCTAGTATACACTTTTTTATCTCCCTTTCCAATTCCTCCCATTCCTTTTCTATCTCTTTCTCTTTCCATTGCACTTCTCCATTTTTTCTCTATATTCTTCTTCTCCTTCTTTCGTCCAACTCTGTACTTTTCCTTCACTTTCTTCTTCTTTTATTTCTTTCCTTTTCCACTTTACTGTCCATTTCATTATAATTGGCTGATGATCCGATTCTACTCTATCTCCTATCTCAAATCTCTGTATCCTCTTTTCTGCTTCCCAATTTACTATTCCGTAATCTATAACCGACCTTTTTCCATCTTTTTCGTATGTCTATTCCCCTCTCTCATCTCCCTCTTTTTCTCCGTTTAGTACCAGCCATCCTCTTTCCTCTATCATTTTTATCAGTTCTTTTCCTTCTTTATTCACCTTACAATCTTTCGACTTTCTTCCTTCCTCTATCTTGTCTATTTCATCTTCTTCCCACCCCCCTCCTCTTCCTATCCTCGCATTAAAATCTCCCGCTATTATAAGATTACCTTCTTCATCTTCTCTTATCATTTCTTTCAATTGCTCTAACTTCTCTTTCTTTCCTTCTCTATTATAAACTGAAATAATCCTCCATTTTTCCTTCTCTACCTTTATTCTTCTTTCCTGTATACCTTCCCTCTCCTCTATATCTACCTCCTCCTCTTCTATCCCCTCCCTTACCCCTGTTATTATCCCCCCCATAGCTCGGCCTTTTTTCTTCTCTCTCTTTGCTTCTTGATATCTCCATTTCCACCCTTTCGGCAATCATTGCTTCATATTCTCCCACTCTTTTTCATCCACCCATGTCTCCAATAACCCCACTATATCAAATTCTTCTATGTATTTCCAAAATTCCGTTCTCTTATTTATAACCCCTGCTACATTCCAAAATATCCCTATTATTTCGTTCTTCTTTACTCCTACTGTCTTTTTATGCTTCTCCCCTCCCTTTTTCTTCTCATTTTCTTTTTTCTTTACACTGTGAGCACTTCTTGAAAACCCTTCTCTCTCATTCTTTTTTCACAATCATCCCATACATACTCTTTTCCATTCATCACCACTTTTCCATATTTCACTCTCGCATTCATTCCATCTTTTCTCCTATCATTCGCCCACACTCTCAATCTACTCTGTCTCTCTCTTTCATATTTCGTTAGGTCATCATCAATATACACATTCGTTCCTCTCAGCTTCGCTCTATTTCTCATAATCACTGATTTTTCCTCTGTACTACTTATTTTCGCTACAATTATCTCGTTCCGTATCTTAAACGCATCTATTACATTCACATTCTTCTCTTCCCCGATCTTCTCTAACACTTCTTTTACTGCCTGTCTCACTGGTTTATTTTCTACTTCCGCGCCTTTTATTACTATATTACATCTTCTCTCTTTTTTTTCTTGCTCCAATTTATACTTTTCCAATTCTTTTACTCTCTCTCTCAAATCTCTGTTCTCTCTCTGCACATCCTGCACCAGTTTTCTTTCTTCTTTCCTCCATTCCTCTATTCTTTGCTTCTGCTCATTTTTCCATTTCTCTACTTCTCGCTGTTGCTCGTTTTTCCATTTTTCTAATTCCTTGATTTGTTTATTATTAGCATCCTCCATATCTTTCCTTATTTGTTCTTTCATCTCTCTAAACTCTTTCCTCATTGCCTTACTGTGCGCTTCTAACGCTTTCCTCATCTCCTCCATTCCTCTTCTTTTGATATCGCACGATGTTTTCCTTTAATTCTTTTCTCCACCTGCCACTCTGTTTCCTCCTCTGATTCTGCACTTTCTGTCTCTCTCCCTCTTTCTTTTTGCTCGCACGTGATGAATTACTAGCATTAACTTCGCGCTTGTTACCCCACCTTTCGGCGTTCGTTGGCCTCCCTTTCCTTCCCCTCTCTGTCTCTCTCTTACTGTCTCCTGCTTTCTTCTTCTCTGCCGCTACTGTCAACCAGTGCTTAATTTTATCCTCTGTTCTTTGCTTCAGTAGACTATCCACCTCTCTTGTCTCACTGCCGTCTTCTCCTGTTTTGCCACTTGCTGTTCTTCAAAGCACTTAGCTTTCTAGGCACTTTTACCGGTGGCTGTTGTTTTTGCTGTTCCTCTGCTGAACCGGATGCCCCTGGATCGGTCGTTCCTCTCCGTTCCTTGATTTCCTCGCCACGTGGAAAACTTGCCGCTCTCGCCTACTTTCCTGTTTTAAGGTTAGCCCTCCAGAAAACGCCCTTTCGACCACAAAACTCTTATTTGTAACTTATTTACAATTGAGTATGTCTACTCGGGTACCCGTTCTCCGTGATGGCTCTCCCGTTTCAAGAAAATATACCTGTGTGTGAATACAAATTACTTTTATACTACTCTTAATATTCAATGTGTCTGTCACCTTATCTATTCCAACCGGAAGTCCATTATTATCGCACTAGCTATTATAATAGAGGCTTTTTACAGTAATAACGTTATAATAATAATAATATAATAATAATGATAATAATAATAACAGTAATAGTGACCTTAATGAACTTCCGAAACTAGTCAAATGTTTTTTCTAATATATACACTAAAATATACGGACAATTAAAATTGAAATATGAATAAAGAAATTATTATCTTCGTAAAATATCGTTCATTTTTCATTTTAATCGTACGGCTAATTGCAGTATTCAATGTTAACATAAATAATGTATTGCTAAACATTGCGTCTTATCTGGAGACACGGTAGTGTCTCGGCGCTAAGCCAAGCGCGCGACACTGCCGTGCCTCC